ACATAAAGTGAAAAATAATAGATAATTTTTTTTAAATGATGATGAAATCAGATCAGACCTATTGTCATGTTTAATCCCAGTGAGAGTCAAGTTGGGAATTGATAATTTCTTCTTCTTTTTTTTTATACAGAAGATCAGTTTAGTATACATTAAGTAAAGATTTCAACAGTTTGCACCCCCATAGAAACACAAAGCGAAATATACTGTTTGAGTACTCATTATAGCATTAGGTCTCAATGTACAGCACATTAAGGACAGAGATCCTACATGAGGAGTAAGTGCACAGTGACTCCTGTACATCTCTTCCCTCTCTTATTCCTACTCTTATGTTTAACAGGGATCACATTTCAGTTAAATTTCAACACTTAAGAATAACTGTGTATTAATTACAGTTAATTGCCACTTAGTAATTATGCACATTTATGGGGTATATTGTGACATTTCAATACATGTATATAATAGGTATGGATTGTAATTTGTGTCTTTTAATTCTATCTTTTTGTTTTTGCACTTTCTTTCTTTAAAGAGTAAATCCATGCTTTTAAAAGGGGGTGTTTGTCCTGCAGAATTTTGTAACTCTAATTAACATTCTTATCTAATCTAATTAATAGTTTTAAGAATCTTCTTTGCTGTTACATTATACATTTTTCTTCCATGTTTTCTGGTATTTTAGAATACACACATATTATTAATAACAATTCTGCTAGTGCTTTTCAGAATTGTCCTCACCCTTGTAGTTGTCTTTGTTGGAGCCATCTGTAAATGTCTATCTTTTCTGGCTCATCTACATGTTAGCCTTGTGACAATTGCACACAAATGCATTCACTGCCAGTCCCTTCCCTGGGTGCTGCACACAGGGGGGTATTGTGACAATGTCTTCAGCTCCTGGGGCAACGCACGCACGGGATTCACTTACTGGTGCTTCCTAATTCCCCAATTCCATGGAACGTGATCTGTGTTATGCAGAAAATCGGCATTCCGCTTTTAGAGAGATAGGTAAGTAGGTAGATCTGTTCCTGTGAATTGCTTGGAATTCTATGCAATTTTTCAATCACGTGATTGGTAAACATGGATATTAAAACTGAATTAATGTTTACTATTAGTGATATTGCATGGTTTCTTCCATATTCTTAGTCTCAGTTTTGTTTCATCTACATAAACAGTGGAGTGTATTTTAGTGTTTGTCAGACCTAAATATGTCTCAGAACGTCTTCCTGCTTGATTGACACATTACTGGCTCCTCCAGTGGATCTGAGTATCATCAGTAACTTTTACTGAGCACAGAGCAGTTTTCAACACCAGTCTAAAAAACTTCCGTGGACTAATGAAGTTGCCCTGGAAACCTGTGTCCTTCATATTTTTACAGAGAAAATGGGGAAACTGATGCAAAACAAATTGCCTGTGATCACACATTTGGAAATGGAAACCAAACCCAAGAAAATGCTGGTTCTAACTCCCAAATTCTGTTTTGGTTTTGCAGATTTCTTCACTCTTGGTGGATGTTATCATCTGAGGCTAGTGTGAACTCCAATCTGCTGAAGGTGGCCCTGTTTTCCTTTCCTTTCATCTGTGTGCGAGCTGCTAGATCCTTTTACTTCAAATAACTTGCTGGAATATGCATGAGTGCATCCTTGTATTCAGTGAGACATCTTTCCACGGTCTTCTTGTCCCTTTAATAAAATTTTTCCTTTCTTCAGTTTTTACTTATAATTTTCTTAAATTTGTGGAATTATTCTTTTAGAATCATTGAATACTTTATTTTGCTTTTGTATGCTCATTACTCCATGTCTATTATTTTCTTCTTAACATTGAGCATCCATCTCTCTGTGTTCCTGGAGGGCTATTCAAGCTCTGTCCTCACGCAAGGTACAGTTTCACGCCATCAGCCGATTCTTGCTGTCTCTCCAGTCACTGTTCCTCCCAGTACTGTTTAAGTGCCGCAGGCAAAGCAGTGCCCTACCTGAGTATCCTGAAGGTCCCCTGCTCTGTGGCCCTTTGGCTCCTCCCAGCCTTGTTGGCCCCTTCTAGTCTCCAGGTCACCGCTGTGGACCACAGGTGAGACGGATGGGGACAGACTAACCCACCATCCCCTCGTTCTCCCTCACCACCCTTCCCTAATGGGCAGCTGGGCTTTGTAGTTGTGTCTGTCCTAGAAAACTCGGACAGAAAAAGGTTAGCTTTCTAGCAAGCTTGCATGTTTTTCACCACTCACTGTGGGGAAAATGCTCCTCCAGGCACTGTGCTTGCTGGTCTACCTGAAAACCTTCCTCTTCTTCCTCGGAGGGTGAGACGGGGCATAGAAGACCTTGCCCCAGCCCAGAAGCTGCCCAGAGAGGTGCAGCCAACCCTTTCCTGAGTAGTCCACACCCGAACACCTTGCACCTATAAAGGTCAAAGGTGGGGAGGTCATAGGTCTTTCCCAACTGAGGAGTGATTAGTGCCCATCTTTCCCCATTGAGCAAGATTCTCAGTTTCAGTGTTGGTGAGGAGTTAAGATTTTTATGCAGCTTCAAGGTATGAGTGAGATGTGTAAGACATGCCTCCCTGGAAAGTGTGTTGATAACTAAGTTATTTGCAGGTTCTGGGTATCCCTGCAGTGCTAATGATTATTGGTGTCTTACTCTGAGGTTAACATTGAACAAGGATGGTCTTGTTCCTGGAATGCATTTACCCAGAAGATCATCTTTCATGTCTTTTACCTGGTTCTGAGCATTCTCAGTATTGACAAATATTTGTGTGAAGGGGAAGAACATTCTGAGATCCTATCATTTTAATAACTCAGAAGACAACTGGCAAAGCAGTTGTCTCCCTCCCTGGGTCCCCGTCTTGTGTGCTTTACGTCAGGTGTTCCCTTTGGTTGCACCACTAGAAAGGGTGTTGATGCCTTAGCAATCACTCCTCCTATTCATGTGCATCCTGTACTGTCCCCATCCCCCGCCTCCACCACCCCCAGCTTCCAGTCATCACTGTGCACTCTGTTCCTTATGATCAACTGTTTCGGGTTCCACAAACTGGTGAAATCATTCAGTGCTTGTCTTTCTGTGTCTGACTTACTTCACTAAGCATAGTGTCTCCCAGGTTCATCTGCATTGCAGCGAGTGCCAAGTCCTGTTCTTTTTATAGATTAATAGTATGCCATTGTGTATGCCTCCGAAATTTCTGTATCCCTCTTTCCACTGTGGGACACAGAGATTGATTCTGTGTCTCGACTATCATGATAGTGCTACAACAAACATGGGCATTCTGGGGTCTCCCTGGTGCTGGGTTTTCTTTTCCTTTGGGTTTGTATGGTGATGGGATTGCTGCAACATCTGGAGCTTCTGCTTTTAATGTTTTCTTCAGGAATCGCCACACTGCTCTGCATATGGTGGGCTAATTTGCATTCCCATAAACAGTGGACAAGCAGTCTCCTTTCTCCAGGTTGTTGCCAGAGTCTTATCTTTTGTCTTTCTGATAGCAGACATTCTCAGTGGAGTGAGAGAGAGCTCACTGTGGTTTTGATTTGCATCTGCCTGATAACTAGCCATGAGGAACATTTTTCATATATCTGTTGGCTATTTGTATGTCTTCTTTTTAAAGAATTATTTATCTGAAAGGCAGAGCAACCGAGAGAGAAGACAGAGGGAGAGGCAGAGGGAATGAGAGAGAGAGATTTTCATCCACAGGTTCACTCCCCAAATGGCTGCATTGGCCAGAGCTCGTCTAGGCTGAGGCCATGTGCCCAGAATTCCATCTAGGTCTCTCATGCAGATGGCAAGGACTCAAGTACTTGAATCATCATCCATTGCTCTCCCAAGCCCATTAGCAGGGAGCTTTATGGGAAGCACAGCAGCCAGGACTCAAACTAGCACTCCAATCCAGGGTGCTGGCATCACGAGCTGCAGCAGTCTAACTTGCTGTGACACAGGCCAGCCCTTGTATGTTTTAGTTGCTTGGTTATTGGCTTCCTCCTAAATCACATGGAAATATTTTGCTTTGTTCCTTTATTTATTACAGTCTCCCAGGCCTGAAAACATGGCACTGGACTCTCTGTGAGTACATGTATATGAACCAACGGAAATCGGCAACAGAGTGGAGGAATCCAAGGATGGTTGATGATCAACAGGTGACACAGCTATCACATTCACTTCAGTTCCCTGTAGTTTGCAGCTGTGTCTACAATGGAATGATACTTCCAGTTGGGAATGATGTTCTAAAATTGTCACCAAAATTCCCCATTCAATCAAGCATCTTATTAAATTGTTTGGTGATTTGAATTTATTGCATCAATCATGGTGCTGCCGTATCCACATTTTCAATAAGTGGGGTGGGCAGTTGGCACGGGGTTTAAGGCACTGCTTGAGATGCCCACATCCTATGCCAGAGTGTACGGGTTCAAGTTCTGGCTCCATGTCTGATCCAGCTTGCTGCAAATGCACACCCTCATAGGAAGCAGGTGATAGTCCAAACACTTGGCTCCCTGCCACCTACATGGGAAACATGATTTGAGCTCTGGGCTCCTAGATTTCCCTGGCACAGCCCCAGCTGCTTCAGGCATTTGAGGAGTGAACCAGTGAATGAATTTTCCTCTCTCTCCTCTCTCTCTCTCTCTCTCTCTCTCTCACACACACACACACACACACACACTTTCTCTCTCCTCTTCGCTCTTTCAAACAAATAAAAATAAACAGTAAAATTTAAAAATAAGAACATAAATAAAATTATTGAAATACATGGAGTCCACTCCAGGTGAAGAATCCCTTCCCAGGCTCAGATGGTCCACAGTCATTAAAGCAGCTTACTTGGAGCATCAGTTGTCAAATATCCTCACCACCACACCAGGGAAACCTGCCAAATTCCTCTTCCAGAAGAAGAAATGGGCAGGAAACCAGATGCACACCCACATCACGTAGAGTGCCCAACACCAGCCACCAGAGCACTTCACTGTGACAGCGCCTGCACCTGCACAAACCCCTAAATGCCCCCTGTGCCTTTCGCGGTTCTCCTTAACCCCACGCTTCTCTTCTTCTGCCCCCAGTTCAGCCTCAGTGCCATGGATGAGAGCAACAGGACCCTCTCTGGGGACTTCACCCTGGCAGGCCTCTTCCCTCACAGCAGTGCCGCTGGGCTCCTGTTCAGCATCATCTGTGCCATCTTCTTCTCGGCCATGCTGGCCAATGGGGTCATGGTCTTCCTGATCCACGTGGACCCCCAGCTCCACACCCCCATGTACTTCCTGCTCAGCCACCTGTCTGTCCTTGACATGATGTACATCTGTACCATCGTGCCCAAGATGCTGGTGGACCACCTGCTGGGCCGGGGCACCATCTCCTTCGTGTCCTGTACGGCCCAGTACTTCTTGTACATGGGCTTCGTGGGGGCCGAGTTCTTCCTCCTGGGGCTCATGGCCTATGACCGCTACGTGGCCATCTGCAACCCACTAAGATACCCTGTCCTCATGAGCCGCCGGGTCTGCTGGCTCATCCTGGCCAGCTCATGGTCTGGTGGGGCTCTGGACAGCTTCCTCCTCACGCCCCTCACCATGAGGCTCCCCTTCTGTGCCTCGCACAAGATCAACCACTTCTTCTGTGAGGCGCCCACCATGCTGAGGCTGGCCTGCGGGGACAAAGCCGCCTATGAGATGGTGATGTACGTGTGCTGCGTCGCGATGCTGCTGCTCCCCTTCTCCGTGGTGGTAGCATCCTATGCCCGGATCCTGCTCACTGTGCGCCGGCTCAGCTCCGTGGAGGGCCAGAGGAAGGCCTTGGGCACCTGCACTTCACACCTGGTGGTGGTGACGCTCTTCTATGGGGCCGCCCTGTACACGTATATGCTGCCACCATCTTACCACACCCCAGCACAGGACAAGGTCTTCTCCGCCTTCTACACCATCCTCACCCCCCTGTTAAACCCACTCATCTATAGTCTGCGCAACAGGGACGTGGCAGGGGCCTTCAAGAGGGTTGTGGCAAGACACCGAGGGGCCTGTGGTGTTGCAAAGAAAGAATTCTAGAACTGCACCTGTTCCACAGCTCATTCTAGTACAGCGCCACTGGTGCTGCGGCAGCTACCACACCAGATGTGTCAAAGCAGGCTCAGCCATGCTTCCATTTTGGCTTCCACACTCAAGCAGTGCCAGAGCCCTGCACACACGACTTGGCTTTGTTCCTCCTTTGTTTCCACTGGTTCCAATTCTTCTTTCATCTCAGCTCTGATCGCATTTCGTGGTTACCACTGTCCCTAAATGCCTGGCTACTGTTTCATACTCAGCCCGTCTTCAATGTCCTCTTAAGACCGGTGACTTTGGCTACAGGATTTAAATGGCCAGTTTGTGGAACCGATGGAATATTTGGGGATTCTGACATCTGAAGCACTGTTAAACCTCAACAGGGGAAGGGCATTTGGCTTAGCAGCTAAGACAATGATTAGGATTCCCGTGTTCCATTTTGGATGTCGATGTTCAATACCTGGCTCTGGTTTCTGACTCCAGCTTCCTGCTAATGCAGTCCAGAGGGACAGCAGTGATGGCCCAAGCATTTAGATCCCTACCACCCATGTGGTATAGACCCAGATGGAGTCCTTGGCTCATGACTTCAGTCAGGGATAGGTTGTAGGCGTCCGCGGGGTGAACCAGCAGATCAGTGTTCTCTCTCTCTATGCCTCTTGAATAATAAAACAAAAACAAAAACAAACGAAAGACTTCAAAGGAAATACTTACATAAAGAAACAGATTTAGAAAATCCAAATAGCCCTTTCTTTGACTAGCAACTGGAAAAAAAGTATTTTCTAAATCTGCACATGGGAAAAATGACTCATGAGTTTTTGTAGAAATGCAAAACCAGGGTTCTACTATGTTGTATTTTCTGTGGGACAAACAACCACTGTTGAGAAATGGGTGCCTCATAGCTACCATCCAGTTTTGTCTAGTCTGCTAAGGTTTGCCACTCTGGGGGTGGATCTCAACACTTTTCTCCCAAAGAAATAGTGAACAACATGCATTTATAACACCGGTTTGCACTGGAAAACAGTACACAATGGGAAGAAATGCCAGCTTTCCATCTGGAGGTTAGACCTGGGATGCTTTTGGAAATGACTGAGTATCATTTATGTGGGGCCAAGAGACAGTAAACAGACCCGGGGTTGCTAAGGTCAGGGGATAGAGAAGGATGGACAAACAGAACATGGAGGATTCAGGGCAGGGGACCAACCACAGACAACAAGAAGTGGCAGGCCACAGGACGGGAAGCCTTTTCCACGACTCACGGACCCATGGAACAAAAAATATGAACCTTAATGTGAACCACAACCCTAATTAACAGTCACGTGTCAAAGTGACTCACCAGTTATGACAAGCAATATGCTGATAGTGAGAGGAAGAAGGAACTTTGTATGATCTGGTGAGTTAAACCTGAATCTGTACTAAAACATAATGTTGTTCACAACATCTTCCTAGAGACCAGGAAAACTTCTGATGCTGTATTTCAGTCAATAAGCCACAAGAAACCGTCACCAGGCAGAAGTAAGGAGGGGGCAGGCATGCAGTGTAACTGTTGGTTTAATTGGCTTGGTATAGAGCTTTGGTGATGTGTATTTGGGGATGGGAGAGGAGGTGAGGCTGGTGTGCATAATTCTTGCATACCAGTGGTTGTCAGTCTCACACGTGTTGTAGGTCATGGTTCAGGTGGTCATCAGTCTCACACATGTTACAAATCAAGGATCAAGTGGTTGTCAGTCTCACATGTGTTGTAGATCATGGGTCAGGTGGTCATCAGTCTCATGTGTGTTGTAGAAGAAAAGGGTCAGGTGGTCATCAATTTCACACATGTAGATGTGGATCAGAAGGTCGTCAGTCTCACGTGTGTTGTAGATCATGGGTTAGGTGTTTGTCAGTCTTGTGTGTTGTAGAAGATGAGGGTCAGGTGGTCGTCAGCCTCATGCATGTTATAGATGAGGGTCAGGTTGCCATCAGTCTTCTGTGTGTTGTAGATGAAGGTCAGGTGGTGACACATGTTGTAGATCATGGGTCAGGTGGCCGTCAGTCTCACATATGTTGTAGATGAGGGTCAGGTGGCCGTTAATCCCATGTGTTTTGTAGACCATGGATCAGGTGGTTTTAGTCTCACACAGGGGATATTGCAGAACTTCCTTGTCATCACATGTTCCTCTCCCTTCCGTGCACAGGAGATACCTGTCTGCACCACCTGTGTGTTCAGGAGAGACAGTACTCTCTTTCCTGCACTCTGACTTCCCTCTCCCCAAGAGGACACAGCCTTTGGAGATGAGGCTGCACTGCAGGGTGAAGCCTTAGCAGACTGAGAGCAGGGGATGAAGCATGCCATTCAGGGCCAGCGCCACTCTTGACCACGCTATACTCTGGATCCAGCTCCCTGCTAATGCACCCTGTGAGGCAGCGCATGCTGGTCCAAGGACTTGGGCTCCTGATAGCCATGTGGGAGGCCAGGTGGAGTTCCTGGCTCCTGGCTTCAGCCTGGCCCATCCCTAGCTGGTGCAGGTATTTGAGGAATGAGTAAGCAAATGGAATCTCTGTCTGTCATTGTGCCTTTCAAATAAATTAATAAACAAGAGTGAGTGGAATACTTTCTTCCATATTTTTTTCTTAGAAGGTTGTTATCTATCATAGCAAGTACCATTCCCCAAGAATGCCCTAAAATGTCATGTAGTTCAGATCATCAAAGCTGTGCAAGGATAGCAGGAAACATCACCCCTCTCACCCAGCACTGAAAGCCTCACTTTAAGCTCCCAGACAGACGTGGCCTTTGACAGAATTTGAAGCTGAGCGGCCTTGGCTGTGTCTGCAGGAAAAGCTGAATATCAGTGCCCAGAGCCCACAGAGCACATCTCGGGACTGTGGCTTCCTCTGGTGGAAACCAGCTGCTGAAAAGTGAGGTCTGTGTCCACAGAAGACCTGGCAAGTCTCAAACCTGGGCTGGATCCCCGTGCAGTGATGAAGCCATTTGTGTGACACTGCTGAAGCCACAAGCAGGGCACGACGTCCCATTCCCATGCATGGTGGCTGGCACAGCTTTGAAAATTTTAGACAACATAATGCATATTATGAAAATTTCAAAATTTTAGAAAAAAATGGAAATATTTATGTTTGTGCATTCAATAGCTGTGTAAGCAAAGGCAATGTTATTACTCTAAATAGTAATTACTTACTAATTAGAGGTTGTCGATCAGTAAAATTAAAAAGTAAATTAATATATAAAAATCAGAAGCCTTCAAATTTGCCATAAATAAACACTGATAAATATTTTAAAAATCCAGAAGCAATAATAAATAAACATTTGGGGTAAATTTAATTATAAACAAAAGTAAAGTGAGAGGTACCCAGAGCATGCATGTGCACACCATATATATTTACACCACACACACATATGAATATTTAAACCACAACACATTTCTATATACCACTCACACATGTACACACCTCATGCATACATGAATACATATCTACATGCCACACACATGCGTATCTATCTACTACATACAAATCATAACCTTTATAATAATTTATATATATATATACACACACACATATAAGTGAGGCAGAGAGACAGAGAGAAAGAGAGACAAAAAGAGATCTTCCACCTGCTGATTCACTCCCCAAAATGTTCACAACAGACAAGGCTAGGGCAGACTGAAGCCAGGGGCCAGGAACTCCATGCTGGACTCCCACATGGGCAGCAGGGACCAAAGCTCTAGTCATCATGGGTGCTTCTCAGTATGCGCCTTAGCAGAAAGCTGAGATCAGCAGCAGAGCCAAGCCTGGAACCCAGGAGCTTGGTTATGGAATATGGACCTCCCACATGACATCCTAACTGCTAAGCCAGCACCCACCCCCAGATCACAAATCTCAGGGAGAAAGTTAGCAGTCCCTGACTGGCCCACAGGGCTGGGTACAGGCCTCGATGAGAAGAGCGGCTCTGTGAGGCTGTCAGTCACATCGCAGCGAGTGACATGGCTGGTGCTAATCCAAGAAAAGCCACGAAGGGATTCCAGAAAATGCATGGAGAATGCACAGAATGGACGCAGGTATGTGTGCATTTCAGAAACTTGTTAGGCCAAACTAAGTTTATCTTTTAAGTCCATTTCCTACACACTTTGTGAAGTCTCTTTGGTTGTATGTGTATGTGTGTGTAAGCACACCAGCACGTCACACACCTGCACACACAGTGGAAAGCAGTTTTGCAAAGGTAGATGCCGTATGAGGCTTTTGATGACTTTCCCTGGTTTTATAGGGGAGGGAAGCATTTGTAAGCTTTCACATCTTTTTCCAGGGGATAAGCGTTGCCTGAATAGCCAGGCAAAATGATCCGGTTAAACCACCGTCATGGCAGGACAGCGCGGCAGAAAGGAGCTACTTCCTGCTGCCCCTGCATGCCTGTCTTTGTCCCCACATTTCCCCAAGGAAGCTGTGCTGGCCGAGGTCTCTTACGGAGCACCGGGGACAGCAGGGTGCTCCTGTGGTGTCAGGCGCTCTCTTGCACCCATCACCTGCTCATTAGCTGTGGCCCGTCTGCCTCATGGAAGTCTCCCGAGACCCTTGGGGGAGGGGGCTTGCTCTTTTCAGCAGTGTTGCGCAGCTCCCAGTAAACTATTTACATCTGGCTGTTCTGGCTCTGTGCACTCCCTGCTGTGCCAGGGACCCTGCTGCCTGCCTCTTCCTTTTTCACATCTGCTTGTCCCTCTTTGCTGAGTATTTCCCAGCAAGATGGCAGGTGGGTGTCATCACACGTTTCTTTCTAGGAGGGTTGTGTGATGGGTTGTGTAATGCACAGTGGTTCCAGGATAGCTGGGACAGTGTTTGTTAGTTTGTTGTAGCGATTCTACCTTCTGCAAGCACATCACAGAACAGCTCCCAGTAACCCGCTGTCTGTCTCTGTGCCGACTCCACCCTCAGTTGATAGCTCAGCTGTGTCAAGCAGCAGGGTCCAAAGGACTGGGTCCTCAGAGGCCACTGTGGACAACACCTGTGCATGCAGAGTGACCACTCCCTGAGGGCTCTCCTGGACGGCCACGGCTGGGGGTTGTGTTGGCATTTCCATCTCTGTATGAAGCGGAGGAGGAGGTAAGTTCACTGAGCATCGCCATTTCCCCTTGCTGCAAAGCTCTTCCACTTCTTAGCTCTGTTGTTTCTCCACGCCTTCTCTGCTTGCACCGAGTTCCTGGGTTTGCAGTAAGCTGTGGTTTTCCTAAACCGTGCCTGGTGATCTCTTTGTAATCAAAGCACTGCAGTCCAAAGGGCCACCTGCAGATGTGGGCACTCAGGAAGTGACAGAAGAGCCGTTCTGGGCATTCAGATGTGTTTTGACGTTAGGAATGTGTGCTTCATTCTTGGACACCTGCTAGGGGTCGTGTGGGACTTTGATTCTGGAGCCGCAGGCACTCAGGCTGTGCGATAGACTCATGACAAGATGGATACGAGGTGATGTGGGAAAAGCAAATAAATTATTTTAAGGTTTTAAACTATTGGGTTGAATAGCTTGATGTTTAGTTTGAATGATGAGAAATTCTTGGTTAAAAGTAAGCAAGTCAGCGACTCCCCTAGCATCAGACCAGCTCCCTTTCTGAGACTCCAAACCCGGAAAGGAGAGCCAGATGGGGTTCCTCAGGTGGCAGTCTGGATGGGGCTGTGCTCCCGGCCTGGTGCCAGGAAGCATCGCCTGGCACATCTGTTTGAGAGCAAATAACTGAGTTTCTTCAACATTTCGTAGCAATATGAGTGGATTCACATCCCCTCTTAGGATACTGCAAACGGTTTGTGGAAAAATAGAATCACAAGGTAAATTTACTTTGGCTCAAAAAAGTGAAGTCCACCCCTAGGTTTTTCATTATATGCACATTCATGAGTTTTTGAAGATCTCTCCTACACATCTGCTTTTAAAAAAATTACACCTAATCAATGTATCTTTAGATTCTATCTCCCATCAAGCTTCTGGAAGCCATTCGCAGAAGACACAAGCAAGAATCGCTCAGGCTGAGCCTCAGGGAAATGAAGCAGGGTTGTGTGCAGCTGCTGGGCTGCACGACACAGGTGCACGTCGGCGGCAGGACGACAGGGTCACTGCAGAGCCTGGCACGGGCACAGTGAGCCTCAGCCTGGGAGAGGACCACGAGGGCACCCGGCAAGCAGCCTTCTTCCCTTTATAAGGCCGGCTTCCCTGTCTGCGTAGAATTAGAGCAAACCCTTTGCTTCTGTTTACTGTTATTTTCTGATTGATCTAAGGGCGTGTTATTCTTGTGCAGGAGTGGGTGAGGGCATGGAGAGGCTAAGGCACAGCTGGCGCTTGGCTTCTGAAGCACAGCCTGCACCCAGGATCCCCAGGTCTCCACCCGGCACACTGCTTGTATCCCTGCCCTCCTTTCACAGGGAAGGGCGCTGATGACCAAGTGGAGGTGCCTGCTTGGCAGATACAGAGCTGGCCTGAGACCTGGCAGCTGGCTGGACACGAGCCCGGGCCCTGTGCCTTCCACCTGGAGATGCAGTCACTCTGCAAGCCACTGCCCCATCACGATGGAAGGGTGTGTGGACACCGACCCCTTGAGGGGGGCTCTGCCGGTACTCACATGCAGCAGAAACCTGTGTCGGAAACAGCGGGGCCCTCGCCTGAGGCCTGCCTGTGCCTTATGTTCTTGTGACAGGCAGGAGGGTTGTGTGGTTGGCAGTGACACCTGGCCCCAAGTCACCCCCAGACTGAGGAAACTGATAATTTTGTGGTTCTTCCTCCAATCTGAGTCTATTCTTAAGGAGCCCATTGTTGAAATACTGAGCAGAATAAAGACAACCCAGAGAAGACTCAGGAACACGTACTGTGTATCTAGTTTCAGAGTCGCACTAGTGTGTTCTGAGCTGGATTGAGATCCCCGTGCAAAAACTCCACTGTGAGTCTCCGCGGGCTCGGAGTCAGCAGCACGCAGACTGTTGTAACAGCAGAGAGGGCCTGGCCCCAGTGTGTTCCATATGGAAGAGCTGGATCTGCAGGAACCTGAGAAATGATGACGCGGCATTTTACAATGGACACTGTGAAGATTCACCCGGGTGAACACTTGGGCTCCAGGATTTCAGCAACAAATTTGCAGGTGAAGCAGACAGGAACGAGGCAGCACAATGTGGCACGGAGAGGAGGAGCAAGTGTACCGTCTCATCCATCCCACGGAGGGTCGGACGTTTAACGGGAAGAAAATTGCTCCTGAGCAGATGGGCAGGGCCAGGAGCAAGGTGCATGAGCAGCTACTAGTGCAGGCAGCACTGGGCCACGCAGAGGCAGGTGACAGCTGCCCTCACACCTGTCACTTCATTTAGGGACAGCGTCAGGGATCATCACCGTCCTGTGCAGGGACAGTGTCCTGACTTCAGACTGTAGTGAGTGGGAGGAAGAAATGGGCGCCATCCTGATCTAACCCAACCTGCCCCTTGGGCAGAACAGGAGAGAAAGTTGTGCAGGTCAGGGTGGTATCCATGTGCTGCTTCCTGTGGACGCGCAGTCTTAGGAAACAATGAGCAATTTAAGTAAGCCTGAAGGACAGCTCTAGGGGCTGACGCTGTGGCATAGTGGGTAAAGCCGCTGCCTGCAGTGCTGCCATCCCATACGGGTGCCGGTTCGAGTCCTTGTTGCTCCACTTCCTATCCAGCTCTCTGCTATGGCCTGGGAAAGCAGTGGAAGATGGCTCCTGCACCTGTGTGGGAGACCTGGAAGAAACTCCTGGCTCCTGGCTTCAGTCGGCCCAGCTCCATCAATTGTAGCTATCAGGGCAGTGAACCAGCAGATGGAAGACCTCTCTCTGTCTCTGCCTCTCTGTAACTCTGCCTTTCAAATAAATAAATTGAAAGGAAGGAAGGAAGGAAGGAGGAAGGAAGGAAGGAAGGAAGGAAGGAAGGAAGGCTAGCTTTAAAACCCATGGCTATTTTACCCAATAGCCTTTTCTTTTCTATGTCCTCACCATTTGCAGAGCAAGCAAATCTGTGTTCCTCAGAGACATTTGGAGTTTCTACAAGTTTAGTTGCAAGACAGACATTTTTCTGAGAGTTTCCACTAAATGCCATTTGCTGCAGGTCAAGGAGGGAAGTGCAGAGCCCAGCTGCTGTAGCTTCATGGGGCTTCACTGGGCTCACAGGCCTGCTGAGCGGGAGACACTTACATCTCAACTCCACACACTTCAGGAGAAGTGTGGCTTCCTTAAGTGAAAGGCTGGGAATTCTCACACATTTACCAATAGTTTTGAGATAATTTACATGTGATTATATAACACCACCATTTTACTTTGTATTATAAATATGTATAATATGAAACAAATATTTCACCTGTACTACACATTTCTTATTTAATCCTTAGCTCAGCTCTGAATGTGTTATTGTCTCAACCTAACAGAAACAGATGCTGAGGCTCAGAGAGTCTGCAGGGAGTCCAGTGCTACAGAATTGATCACCGTCACAACCAGGAGAAGAACTCGGTTCATCTGATTCTACATTTATTTTACTGTGCGCCTATCATAGCGTTTCAGAAGCAGCTTCTTGAATACAGGCACAGAATTGTTTGGAACATTCCCTGGCTGTTTTCACGTGGACTAAACCAGAGTAAGGTGAGCAATGTGCACCCAGGGGAGACTCAGCACTGCAGGCCCTCTCACCGCACCACTCCACAGCCAGGGAGCCCGCAGTAGGTGTCACTGATCATTTCAAGGCAGGCAAACTGCAAGGCAGAGGAGTCATCTGGATTAGCGCCAGTGTTGACACTGGCCACAGAAAAGGCAAGCAGAGGAAGACCAGGGCTTGAGCATGGGCCAAGAGCAGAGAAGACTCTGGTGGTGTGAGACAGTCCATGTCTGGACTCTTGAGAGATGATCAAAGTTGAACCTGGAATGCAGGAAGGGGCAAGCAGTAGGATCGCTGCAGCTGGGTGGGTTTCCCCATAGGTCTTACTGCAATCCATGAATGAAAACTCACAAGGGTAAGGAAACAAGGCACATTGTAAATGATGATAGAATTGTTGTCAAGAAAATCCATGAAACCTAGCACAAAACATTCAGAGCTAGGGAAAAAAGAAATCAAGAAGACAGTTTACACTCCAAAATTCCATAGCCCTGATGATTATAGCTTATGGGATCCACTCCCCGTCAGGACTAACGTCCAGTAATCTCACTGAAGACTGCATGGAGCTGAAAGCTGGCCACAATCCCATGGCAGGTGCATTTGTGTGGAAGCCACCATGGAGGCCTGGGCTGTGCAAGGGTGCACAGGATGGACTGAGCCTGCCTGGTCCAAACCCTGCTCCTGCTCATGGGCCACACAGCACAGACACATCACTGCCAGTTCTGCAGCATGCGAGTACCCACATCCCAGCTTCCCTGTAAATTCCTTTCCTGCAAGCTTTGTGCAATGTTAAAACCATTATTCTAAATAATGCCCACATTTTTCAAATACATAAGAGGATCATTAGATTTGTTTGATCAGTTTAGCTCCCAACATAATTAAATATTTCCTAGTGAGCACATTTAGTATCTAAACATATAAGACATCATCCTTTACTTTCAGAAAGTTTCCTATGGATATTTTTTTCTTTACCATGACTTTAAGTTACATGAACCACAGTCACTCCTCTTTTCTTAATCATGAAGCACCAATTTCCAAAACTGACAGGTGGGTTACAGCTCAACATGTGTATACCTCTCGATTTCCTCTGTATTCCAATTGCTAATCATGCTAACTGCAATGCTAATCATAATTCTAATGCTAACTCTCTATATCCTAAAATTGAACTTTCCTTATTAAAAATAAAGTAAATTCTTGGATGGGGTGTGTATTTGGTCTAGTGGTTGAGACGCCAGAAGCTTCACCCTGCATCCTCTATCAGAGCGTCTAAGTTCAGGTTCCACCTCCAGCTTCCTGCTAATGCAGACACTGGGAGGTGGAAGTGATGACTCAGGTAATTAGGTTCTTCCTCATATAAGAGAGACTTGGACTGATTCTTTGTCCCTGGCTTCAGCCTGGCCAGGTCCTAGCCATTTTGGCCATTACAGGAGTGAACTGGCAGATGGGTGTGTCTTCTCTCTCTCATCCATCTTTCTCTCTGCCTTTCAAATGAATAAAAATAAACATCATAAATTCTAGAACTGTGAATGCCTCGTATAGATGAATTTGTAAGAGTAGCCTCCATTGCTCAGCTCATTTCATGCCATCCATTCTGTCTGCAATAGAGATGAACTAACACCAAGCAAAATCTTGTGATAGAGACAGCAACTCAAGGCCCAAGGGGAAGGTTACTCATGCACTGGGCTCATGGCAGAGAGACTGCCCACAGTCAAAATTAAGGGAGCTTTGAAGGTGATGGTGATGCTGACACAAAGAAATGCATGCAGATGCATCCAATGTGGCACATGCATGTGTACGCATGTATGCATTTAAGGTAGCACACACATGCACATACACACTGACAAACCACCGACTCCCGTGTGCACTTGCTCAGGTGTTGTCGCAAGCATCATTGTAGCACAGCAGCTGACATCTTGTCCAATGTGTGGAAAGAAGTATCCACTAATAATGGCCTATTTACTAAAAAAATGTGGCATAGACTAGTTGCTAGGTATCAGGTCCCATGTACCAAGAAAATATTTTTAAATGTTCTCTTTTAACTTTTAGAAGTTTGCTGCCTGACATTAATCTCTGTGTTGTCATTCTGATTCCCTGGAATGCTACTATGTCATTTGGAAAATTCTGGACTCCCTCAGCACCGCTGTGAGTCATGGACGGGTCCAACATGACTTCCACAGACTTCACCTTTGTGGGGCTATTCGGCAGTGAGGAAACCTCAGGCCTGCTCTTCACCATCATCTCCATCATCTTCCTCTCCGCACTGACAGCCAATGGGATCATGATCCTCCTGATCCACACTGACCCCCGCCTCCACACCCCCATGTACTTCCTGCTCAGCCACCTGTCCTTCATTGACATGATGTACATCTCCACTATTGTGCCAAAGATGCTGGTAGACCACCTGCGTGGCCAGAGGGCCATCTCCTTCGTGGGGTGCACAGCCCAGCACTTCCTCTACCTCACCCTTGTCGGGGCCGAGTTCTTCCTGCTGGGGCTCATGGCCTATGACCGCTATGTCGCCATCTGCAACCCGCTGAGATACCCTGTCCTCCTGAGCCGCCGGGTCTGCTGGATGATCATAGCGGGCTCCTGGTTTGGGGGCTCCCTGGATGGCTTCCTCCTCACGCCTATCACCATGAGCTTTCCCTTCTGCAGATCCCGGGAGATCAATCATTTCTTCTGTGAGGCGCCTGCAGTCCTGAAGCTGGTATGCGCAGACACAGCCCTCTATGAAACCGTCATGTACGCCTGCTGCGTTTTGATGCTGCTGATCCCGTTCTCTGTGGTTATTGCTTCCTATGCCCGCATACTGACTACGGTACACCGCATGAGCTCGGTGGAGGGGAGGAAGAAGGCGTTTGCCACCTGCTCGTCCCACATGATGGTGGTCACACTGTTCTACGGGGCCGCCATGTACACCTACATGCTGCCTCGCTCTTACCACACCCCGGCCCAGGACAAGGTGCTGTCTGCCTTCTACACCATCCTCACCCCGCTGCTGAACCCCCTCATCTACAGCCTGCGGAACAAGGACGTGATGGGAGCCCTGCAGCGGGCACTGGGTAGAGTCAAAGGCTCTCAAAGAGTGGCAGGAGGCAACTTCTGATGCCCACCCCTGCCCATGCAGACAGCAACTAGGACCACTGTCCCAGCAACCACACTAGCATCAAACGTGGAAACAGGAAGGAAGAGTTCAACAAGGGACGGGGTAAAAGTTAACACTAAAAAAACTGTCCTCGTGACATCTCTCCCTCTCTACTTTGTTTCTTATCCCTTTCCTTTCATTGCCCCATTCATACATCTCCAAAATGAATGCCTGCTGATTTCCAGAAAAAAAAAAAGGATTAGAAAGTTTTGTTCTAGAACTCTACCTCCTGGAGGACAGGAAGTCTCACGGAAGTTTCAGTGGCATGGACGGCATCAAGACGTGCAGGAGGGAGGATAGCTGTGTGGGGACTTGGGTCACTACTCCAGAAGCCTGGCTCCTCCTCTGTGGTCAGGCGAAGACCACTGTTTCCGTCTTTGGCCCAACCTCAATGGGAGAGGGTTGTGTTGCTTCCCACGCTCTGCCAGCGTGGTAGGCAGCAGAGTCACTAGGCACAGTTCTCTCAAACAGCCATCGGAGTCAGTAAAACCATTCTGTGCTTGTTGCTTTCAGTCAAAAAGGGCATCTGAGTTTTGTTTGCAATGTGTGAGTGAAAACTATTTGTCAGATAAGTAAAAAATGATGTATGAGAGCAAGGAGCATGGCCAAGAGAAACCAATGTGAGAGTGTGGTATGCCATGGCGGGGGTGAGCAGGTGTTTCTAGCGCTTTGGAGAAACCTGCAGGGCCTTAGGGTGGGAACAGTGAAATGCTTTTCAAACATGTCCAATGCCTTCAAAACGGAGGCTGCACTGGCCAGGGGATGCCGCTGTCAGTCCATGAACTGATAGGGGACAAGAAGGAACAGACCATGTCGGTCTTCTTGATTGATATGTGAGGAGCTCATGCAGGCACCAGACACAACCATGGTCATGACATAAGTAGACTAATCAATCTCTCAAAGCCTTGGTAGTGCCTGTTCATCCTCCCACAGTCTCCACTCATCGTGAGTTCCAGTTCAGGGGTGAGGGCAGTGGGCTTCAGAGACACAAGGACTTCCAGAGGCCAGCAATGTGAAGTAGTGCCCTGATGACTTCACTAGCAGCACATTGGTGAGTGAGTGCACCAGACTGCATGGTTTCGAGGACACAGTTGATTGGACCCTTTGCCCTTCAGCATCCTCATCCATGCACTCACTGGTGTGTCCACCAATTCTTCATACCTGTGAGCAAGACTGACAATGCCCTTGCACTCAAACAATTTGCATTGCAGTGAGGAAAGAAAGCAGATAAAAAACACATAAATCCCACACACACTGAGTGTTGCAGCAGTGACCACAGCTGGGCATCTCTGTATCCAGAGCCCTGCAAGTCATCCTTGGGCAAGACCATCCATGTATAATGTCAACCAAAATAGGTGTGGTGGCAGGTGAAATGCACAAATGTGCTGATGGTGAAGGGAGTCCCTGAGCTGTGCTGTATGAACTCAGAAAAGCTGGATTTCTGATGCTACTGGCAACAACATGGATTGACCACAACCCACTGCTGCACTGAGAAAACAGTGCAGATCCAACAGAGCTACCCTGTGCCTGGGGGGGCCGGCGGCTGGAGGATGTGTGAGCAGGTTTCAGGAGCTCTCAGTTTTCTCTTTCCTGATGTGAATGCTGATTGCACACCCAGTGCTGAGCTTGAGAAAACTCATGAAATTCAAGGTTTTTGGATATGTAGTACTTTTTTTATGTAGACTTTACTTCAATAAAAAACCTGTAGCTCATAATTTATTGTGAAATATACAAGACATACAACAACATAGCAGAACATTGGAAATAGGTTTATGGGGGCCAGCGCTCTAGCGCAGCTGGTAAAGCTGCTGCCTGTGGTCCTGGCATCCCATATGGGCACTGGTTCAAGGACTGGCTGCTCCACTTCCCATCCAGCTCACTGCTGTGGCCTGGGAAAGCAGCAGAAGTTGGCCCAAGTCCTTGGGACCCTGCACACACATGGGAGACCCGGAAGAAGCTCCTGGATCCTGGCTTTGAATTGGCTCAGCTTCGCTGTAGCTCTGCCTTTCAAAGAAATACATAAATCTTAAAAAGAAAGAAAGAAAGAAAGAAAGAAAGAAAGAAAGAAAGAAAGAAAGAAAGAAAGAAAGAAGAGGAGGGAGGGAGGGAGGGAGGGAGGGAGGGAGGGAGGGAGGGAGGAAGGAAGGGAAGGAAGGAAGGAGGAAGGAAAGGAAGAGGGAGGGGAGGGAGGGAGGGAGGGAGGGAAGGAAGGAGGAAGGAAGGAAGGAAGGAAGGAAGGAAGAAAGAAAGAAAGAAAGAAAGAAAGAAAGAAAGAAAAGAAAGAAAGAAAGAAAGAGGTGTATGGCTACACTTGCTGTGGCATTCTTGTCGCTCCCCGTCTTCGTGGAGGAACGCACAGACCCTGCGTTGTTCTTTCGTGTGCTCAGCCCATCCCCGGGTTTGCTGCTGGTTCTATCCCAGGTTGGCTACAGTCCCTTCCACCTCCGTGGAAGGGCGGTTCCCCCTGCCACTTTCCCCACTTTCCGCAGGGGAGCGCACACCACCGCCGGCTCTCTAGGGGGCTGCTCAGGTGTTCCCTTTAGGATGTTCCTGGTGCATGTTGTCTCTCTCCTCCTTTATAGTCCTCTTCCTCCAATCCCAACTCTGCTACCCACACGCCGAGTACGCTGCTCTCCTCCAATCAGGAGCAGGTCCTGCAGCTTGTTGGTTGAACTGGAGGCAGCTGTGTAGAAGCTGTTTCCTCCTCTCCCAGCGCCATATTGTGGGAGAGCAGATGCATAGAATAAGTCTTAATTCCAGTAACTTAGTCTAGTCTGAGTTGCTCCCAGTTGCTCCCCACAGATCCCCCTTTCTTTTTATTTTTGGCATTGATACGCTCCTGTCTTCGGTGTCCCGCGGCACACACTCTGCTCTGCTTGCTAGAGTTGCCCACAGGTGCTTACAAGCCCTTCCAATCAGGCAAACCGAATCCAGGGTCCTCTCTTCGCCATGTTGTGAGGAGGTTTTTAGGTGCTGATGCATGCCTGTGTTCAGTGCCCTGCAGCGCATGCTCTGCTCTGCTAGAACTGCCTGCAGGTGCTTACAAGCCCTACCAATCAGGCAAACCGAATCCAAGCCTTCTCATTGCCATATTGTGGGGAGACTTATTGATGTTGATAACGTGCCTGTCTTCGGTGACCTGCAGCCGCCCACAGGTGCTTATCGTCTTACTAATCAGGCAGACCGAATCCAAGCTCTCTCATTGCCATGGTGTGCGGGAGGCCTTGTTTTCTCTATTTCTCTATCTCCAGGCATTCCTATTTCTCCTATTTTACTATCTACCAGCATTCCTATTTCTCTCATTTTACTTCTAAACTTCTATTTCTCTTATCCCGCGGCTTCCCGGCGCCCGCCCCGAGGCAGCTTCTCGGCACCTTGCCCCGCGGCGGCTTCATTTTTATTTCCCTAACATTTTCTCTACCCGGTATGTTTCCTAACTTTTCTTCCAACAATATTCCTCCCTCATTTCTCCTGACTTCTCCCCACAGTCTGTATCTGAGTCTAAGTTTCTTCTAGGTTTCACTTCACTTTCAACCCTAACGTCCAATCCTAACTTCTTTCCCACAGTCCATATCTGAGTCTATGCCTAGGCTTTCAATAGCTTCTTCCGGAACTTTTCCATCCGGCTTTTCCCTAGGCCTCTTTGCTATTCTCTCTCTCTGGTATTTTCCCACTTCTTCCCGTTTCTTCCCTCCTAGGTTTCCTATCCGAGTCACGGCACCATTATGTCGCTCCCTGTCTTCGTGGAGGAACGACACAGGACCCTGCGTTGTTCTTTCGTCTGCTCGGCCCTCCCCGGGTTTGCTGCTGGTTCTTCCCAGGTTGGCTACAGTCCCTTCCACCTCCGTGGAAGGGCGGTTCCCCCTGCCACTTTCCCCACTTCCGTGGGGGAGCGGCACACCACCGGCCGGCTCTCTTGGGGGCTGCTCAGGTGTTCCCTTTAGATGTTCCTGGTGCATGTTGTCTCTCTCCTCCTTATAGTCCTCTTCCACCAATCCCAACTCTGCTACCCACACGCCGAGTACGCTGCTCTCCTCCAATCAGGAGCAGGTCCTGCAGCTTGTTGGTTGAACTGGAGGCAGCTGTGTAGAAGCTGTTTCCTCCTCTCCCAGCGCCATATTGTGGGAGAGCAGATGCATAGAATAAGTCTTAATTCCAGTAACTTAGTCTAGTCTGAGTTGCTCCCAGTTGCTCCCCACAGCATCAACCTCTGGAGGTTCCATTTGAGCAAAAGTATGATTTAGACATAGAAAAATCCCTGTGGGGAGACTTCCAGATAGGAAGAAGAGCAGACACCACTGCACAGAACAGGAGCAGTGAGTTCAGAAGGCTGGGAGTGTTCGTGATGGGCAGAGAAGGCAAGAATGAAAACTCAGGGGGCCAGGTCAGGATGCTGTGTGCCAATGCTGGACCTTCACCCAAACTGCAGAGAGCAGCTGCTGAAGTTCTAAGCAAAGGAAAGACAGATCATGACCTGCAAGCAGAGAGTGTGTTCTAGCAGAGGGTGGGCTGTAGGGAGAAACACTGCAGCAGTGTTAGGTAGCAAGTCAGAAATTGAACCTGTGTGTGGAGACAGGCCTGAAGACCAGCAACTACTGAGGAAGCCCCAGAAGCCCAGCATCTTGCACTTCAAAGTCCTGCTCAGAACCTGATAACCTCCCAAGTGGTCCCAGCCCTTCCCCAAGGAAAGCTCCCAGGAGAATTCTCTCCTCAGGACCAAAGGCCTTACCTGACCTGATAACATGGGGCAATAAAACCTTCTCAGATGCCCTAAGGGAAGCCCCCCTACTCTGCCCAGGAGCCAGCAGATCTGGGGAGGAATTTGCTAACTTTCACCCAACAAACTCTTCTGCCAGGACTCCCCATCCTTTGTCCTGAAGGGAGGGGGGTGGGTAAACAGACTCCCTTAAAAAACCCGGGGAGTCCAAACAGACAGGGAGCTTAGCTCTTTCCTTTCTGCT